GCTTAAAACATGCATCTAAATTTGAAGGATTAAAGTCCAACTTACTACCAGAATAGTTCCTCAAATTACTATTTTTGGCAACTATAGAAAAAATGTATATACACACACATATCTATATAAGCCAGTGCAAAAATCTAATTAAAAATACGTTAAAATCAAAAAGACCATTCCTTCTTAGTTCAACATAAAATTAAATGGGAGTATAACTTGCCAATGGCAACTGAGAGTGTGTGATATTCTATGTAATTTGACATTAACTGGAAGGAATGTAATCTTGAAAAAATTAGTGAAACATGTAAATCATGAAGAAGACTAGTTTATACTTTCAGTAGATTTTCTATAATATCTGATTTTCATGGCTAAAGATGGAAGCCTCTGTGTCTGCAGAGATATATACAAAACCATGTACTTGAAAATGTGTTCTCTCTGTGACCACTTTTAAGTACCGTAATATTTGGTTGAAAATATATATTTCATTCATAACAATAATTAGTCAGTGTTATATTTAAAGAAATCAATGAGTCAATTTCATTAAACCAGATATGGAAATGTAATACATTCCACACACTAAAAGAAGATTAATGAACTGCTGAAGAGCTCCCTTCTTTTCTCCCCAGTGTATGTGTAACTGCTGCATCAAGCAACAGCAGCTCACGTATTTTCAGATATAGTAAATAGCTCTCAGGCTTTTCAAATAAAGTTGTACTCTGCCTTGTATGCAGGCCAGGGCCTATGCATTGAATAAATCATCAGAAGTGTATTCCAGTTCTTTTAAAGAGAACACGGTAGTGCTCTCTATTTTTTATTGATTGCATTCGCAGAGGAAAATTGAATCCATTCCTTGTCAAGGCCCCTAAACCTCATGTCATAAAGAAGAGGGAAAAAAGGAAAAGATGGATGGAATTCAGTGGAATGAGCGAGAAAGACTGATGTTTCATATTGTGTGATGATAAATTTTATTTTTTCATCTTGTTCATATCAACTGAGAGGTAGCACCTGAAGTACTTTGAAGTAGTAATCTTCAAAGACTTCTTTTAGCAGAATTGGAAATAAGCTTATTGGGGAGTTGTCTCCAACTAGGTTTTCTGTCAATTATGAGTCAAAAGCTCTTTCCTGTATGGAAGTTAAATGAAAAGGAAAGGCAAGGGTTTCTGGAATATAGAGCATCTCAGAAGGAGTGGCTATGACACCTCTAAACATTTTATTTTAGTAAAATGCATTTTTTTATAACAGAAAAAGAAATTATCACTATATTCATGAAGTCAATATAAATCCATGTGTCTCAAATTAAGGTATTCTGACAGGTGCCATGGTCTCCACTATGAACACTGCATTGATTTTTATGTGCAAATTGAGAATCATGATATTTTAGTCAGTACCATTTGAAAAATAGGTTTTTTGCTGTTTATGAGAGGTTTTGCTTGCTTTTCTATTGGTTGGCAAGTTTCAAATCCACTGCTGTAGGCTTTAAACCAGAATCTGGAGGTATGGGTTTGAAATTGCCTATTACCAGAGGTATTGCATTAAAAAAAAAAAAAAAAAAAAGTAGGGGACTTGATCTAAAGCTTGCCTTTTGAAGTCCGGGGTGTATTTTTTAACAGGAGCAAAAGAATAATATAAGTTGCCGGAAACCACTTAGAGAAATAAATTATTAAAGCTAAAATTCCCAGAACCCTTTTGCTTTTTTACTGATTACGTGATTATTTAACGGAAATGTGGGTGCATTTTATTTCAAGTATACCTGTAGTTAGAATGAAAAAAACAAGCAAACAAAAAAACCCTGAATGAAGGGAGCAAGTTTGAATTACAAATATCAAACTGCTTCAGGAATAATTGTTTTGATGATTGTACAATCAGCTATTTACATATCAGTCCCACCAAATAAACAGTGTATCTGAGAAAGTGAACTAAGAGAAAGGTGATACATGTTGAACCTTACATGTGTGCTGTTAAAGTTCATTACTGAAATGAAACTCAGGTGCTTAGCTATGAATTTCTGTAGTGCAGGAAGATATGCTTTTCCAGTACATGAGAACAGATACATTACATACTGTTAGTAGCCTTTCCCCTGATTTATTTTGTTTGCTTCTTTACTTTTGTTTCTCTTTTCTTGTTGCTCATCTTGAATTCCACATTTACTTTTTTTTTTTTTTTTTTTTATATTCCAACTGCATGTGTTGAGTTGTTTTTTTAGAAAGTTATAGAGGAGGAGATGGAAGGGGAAAGTGGGACATAAATAAGATCATAAAACTCTTGACTCTGACTATAAAGCATCACTTCTCCACAAATATTACAAATAAGATCTAGTAAGATAAATTTCTTGCTTTATAGCCTAATCCAAAAAGTCTAATAAAATCCTAAAATTATCAGTTCCAGTAGATCCATTCAGTACTTCAGTACTTGGTTATTTTACTATTTGTAGATTGTCTTCTTAGTTTCTCCTTTTCTTGTATATGCACATATTTTAGATACATATTTATATATATATGAGACTGTATATGTGCAGCGCTGTGTGTAAACATACAGATTCATATATATACATATAACTCTTTGCAATACATTTTTGGGTGATGTTACACAGATACTCTTGCAACAGTGTAAATGTATAGTAAGATGTTTAATGTATCTTCACTGAATATAGCTTATTCATTAGTAAACTTACTGTCTGAAGGAAATCCTCTCTTTAGAAATTTTGTATCACAATTAATATGTGAGGAGTTTTTTTCACGGGGCGCATAGTCACCAAGTTAGAAAAACATGGTTAACTTAAAAATATTTTTTTATTCATTACATTTTTTGCTGAATAGCAGTATCAGTGGTCTGACCAGGATGGTAAAGTCAGTGACAGATTTGGGGGTAAAAGTTGCAGTAATTTTAAGTCAGGTCACAAGGCCAAATAAATGCATTGATTTATATGGTTATGAGGCCTGGGAATTCATAGAAGACCCTGAAACCTAAATGCTTTGTCAGTTGGCAAAGAGGTAAGAATTGTTGTCTCCCGTGTGCATTAAGTGTCCTAAACTCCAGTGCTCTAAATGCCACCAGGAACCACTGACATAGGCTTCCACTGGGCCAAGTACTCTCTGTATCAGGTGAGGAAATGGTAACATGAAAAACTCCAAATCAAGCTGAAAGGAAATTCTTGTCCAAGTAAATGATAGAGCTTCTAATGACTTCCTGGAGCCACTTCTGGAAGTAAGGTCTGACACAAAGTCAAGTTTTGAAAGTCTGTACATAATGCTTAATTACACACTAGGTCAAACAGGAGCTAAAAGACTTAAGGGAACAGTAACCATTTTAAAATTATAATTAACTTCTCATAGTGCCTCAGGGAATTATTTCTCTTTCTTAAGTAAACTTATATATATATTTATAATAATCTACTTGACAAATAGACAAGTATATAGTACAGGCTTATTGCTTACAGGGAATCTCAAGAGTTGGAAATTTAATTTCATATTTCTATAAAAAAGCTATATTTTGGGAGAATAGTATTATATTAAAACTACTTTGGAAAAAACACAGAAACATTTCTGCAAAACACATGGTGTAGCAATTTTCTCCTTAACCTTTAAAAACAAGACTATAAAATTTCATGTTGTGCTTTCATTTCTCTAGTAGCTGTTAACAACCTCACTTTGGAAATGGGCTCTCAAATGTTACCTTTCAACCTGTCCTTATTTTTATTATGTCTTTTTTTCAATGTAGCAGAGGGTTAGAATGCAGACCTACATAGCAAATTTTGTACTGTGATGTCACTCTGGTGCCTTAAATGTCAACTGGTTTTATTTCAGCTTGACTTGCCCATGTGCAAGAGAAGTTGAATTTTCTTTCCTGTGTACAATACCATAGTGTAAGCAGGATCTGTATTACACTGTTAACTTTTGTAGGATTTACACGTCCATCTTTAGCGTTTTTTGAATGTTCTATCCCCTCCAGTTCCCTTTCCACTCTTGGGTTGCTAATCTAGGTGTTTCAGTTTTAGAAACATTACTTACAATGCCATTAGGCAACACAAAAGAAAGAATTAGTGACCAAACCAACAGAAAGCCCTTGCTTTTTCCAATTAGCTGAATACTTGTTATTGCCTATCATTATTAAGATTTTTTTTTTAAATTAATGAGATATTTGCAACTGATTAAATGAGGTGAAAAGCATGATTTATCAGAAATTATATCATAAGGTATTCTGTATCACAATGAGATTTCACTGACTACTGACTATATTCAATTGACTATTACGGTAGCAGTGTTCATCAATTTTAAAGTAACATATCTTTGTTTTTCCAAAAAGGCATAGAGCATGTTAATATATTATGTATTTTATTAATTATATAATATATGTGATTGATTAAAAGAAGCATTGGTACAGGACAACTTTCTGAATGTAAGTTTCTGTATAACAGGCCACATAATGTTTAGCTGAAATGTGAACTTCACTTTGGAACTGACCCAACTCATAAATATTAATGTTCACATTGCTGATCTTTCTATAAGTGATCACATCTATGAACACTAAAATCTTGTTAGTGTGTGATAATGAGTAATGTTGTGCTCGCAGTCCCACCTTAATATTACAATTCAATTAACTCTTCATGGTTACCATTATAAGAGGTATATACCTACCTTTGCTGATGTCATTCTAGCTGTTCTTATTGCAGTGTGTTCTAAATTGTAAACTTCAAATTTACATGCTAACATTTATTTTTCTGTAACTGGGAAGTGCAATTAGAGTGACATCTCAGAAACAAAGTATTTGTAGAAAACACTGGCTATGCAAATAAGCTTCAGTTGTTGCATACAAATAATGCAATGGGAAGAAGAGACCAGGAGGACCTTAAAGTTCCCAATGAAGAGGAGTGTGTTTCTTTAAATTGAATTTGTGGATTAGTTAAATGAAATGTTATTACTTTCTGCAATAGTTCAGTTTGCTTTTTGTAGTCATTGCTGCTTGGTTTAGGGTATAATTTTGTAATACCAAATATGTTTTCTCTTTGACAGCAACGATAGTGTTAAATGAACTCAACTGGACTGCAGCGTTGGATGATGTATTCAAGCGGAACAGAGAAGAAGACCCCACTTTATTATGGCAGGTTTTTGGTAGTGCAACTGGCCTCGCTAGGTATTACCCAGGTAACTGAAGTCTCATAAAGAACTGTCCTATGTCACATATTGCCTTAAAAATATTCTGAATTATTTACAAGTAATAGAAGATAACTAAAGGTTACTTCCTTACATAGATTCAGTTTCTGTATAGCAGAATTAACTCAAGGACTGTGAAATTATTATGGCATGAAGCTGGTATGAGGGGGGAAGAAGCTAGGGGTGAAATATGTAGCTAGTATTTTTTACAGTAAGAGTAACAGATTATGTGCTTTGAAAAGCTGAAGAGTTAAATTTTATTTATGTATTTTTTTCTAAGTGTTGTGTAAATAATCAGTTGAATATTTGCCAGTGAGATTTTTATACTGTCTAGTTTTAAAAATAGTGACTCGGTGACTAGACAGATCTTATGGTTAAAGTCAGTGAAAATATGATTGCACCATGCTATGCTTAGGTCCTGCAGAATCCATGATCTCTGACAATTATGTCTTTGCTATTAGAGCTAAGGTCAATGAATTCAACTTAATTATTTCAACCGGCATCTGTTCTACTTGTCAAAGACTCCCATTACTGGACCAATCTAATTAATTGAAATAGATGTATATTTTACTGAATTTAGATCATAAGTTACCATAATTTGATTTTTGATTTGTACTAGCTAATGGAAAGTCTTGTTTTATGGCAAGGTATACTGCATGTGCTGCTGCTGTTCTTGATAAGTGATGTTGTCAATGACAGAATAACATGTCCACTACACACAAGCCAATTGTGTGCAGGGTATTGTCTTTTGCCTACAACTGGCTGAGCAAGAACTCTCAGATCCTTTCTCCTCTGTTTATACAAGACTGTGTTTCTTAGGGTGAAGGGGATTATTCTAAAGCTGTTACTGTACCATTAGCACAATTACTAGCACAGGCAGAGAAACTGCCTTAGGGTAGTTTACAGGAAGAATTTTTCATAGGACTTTAATCCTGTTTGTTTTGTTATGCTAGATGCTTATGAAATAAATACAGTGAGATGTTGCAGAAAAAATATTGAAAATGATAATTTCATGTTTCTTGTATTTCCAAGTGTTCTGTTTCAGTGATTTTGGGATATATTAGTACTGTGTTAGGGGTCACCATTTTTCACTGCTTACTGTGTAGTGATGTTTTCCAAGTATTGAAAAAGAGCTTTTTCTTAAATGCATCTCAGTGCCAATCTCTACAAAATTCATTTTGAGGTGTAAGATTATCTCATATATTGAAAAATATATTCTTATGTCTAGGTAGCCTGTCTATTCCTGTTGTTTACCAACACAACACAGAAGCCTTAGAATCTCTATGCATTATTCCTTAGAGCACCTCTATAAAATGGGAGAAGCTTGTTTTCCCTATCTTGCAGGTGGATATGTTGCTTGTATATACACCAACTAAACACAAACTTAAATTTAGTATAAAACTCAGATCCCCACACTTCCTGCTTATTCCATTGTTAAGTGCCTAAGTCCTTATTAGCTATCTAGTCCTGTCAGAACTTAACTTTATTAATTCCTGGATAATTTCCCAATTCTTAAATTCTGCACACATACAGTAACCTAGAGCAGTCTGACAGTCCTTAAATTGTACATGCGTTGTTCTATGATCTCTCTCATTTCTACTTCCTTCCATTTATAGCTCAAATTGGTAAGCCCTTTGGGTTTTAGATTTTTAAAATAGGTCTTTATACAAGGTTGCCCATCTTTCTCTTTTTGTAAACTATATGTCTGTTTGCTGACACACACAAGTGTTCTGAAAATTATATCAAGTTTCATATACTGGAATGGATGCTTTTTACATTTATTTTTTTTTGAAATTATATTATAATTTGTAAAACATTGCTTCCTTATATTTGTCTTAGGTAAGTCTGCTTCAAAGTGATGGATTTCTCCATAGTGATGATATTTGTGAAAGAATTTGGAAGTATCAAAAACCAAAATTAAAATGCATAGAAAGACCTGCTCATTATTATCTGAAATATATCCACTCAGTCTTTCCTCCCTTAAAAAAAAAATTGATCTTTGGTACCTCTAGCTTTAGAGGGTGTCTTCAGTCACAGGATTCTTGAACTAATTTTTTTATCTGATAGTATCCCACTGCCTTGAGTAATGGGCTAGATGGTACATCACTTCTGTCCTAACTAGGCTCTTGGGCTGTCCTTGTCACCATAGTAACCAGCATCATGAGTGGGATCTTTCTATGAGTGACTGCATGGGTGGAAAGTATGAGTGAAACATGAGATTCTTTTTCTATTACATATATCCCTTTGTTTCCTACATATATTCTATTTTTGGTACTGTTCTATGCTCCTCTAGCATCACATATATGATTTCATATAATTTTCAGCTGTACTTTGTCAGCCTTTTTGGTACATTTGTGTCCCCTTGTGTCTCTATTGAGAAGACAAGACAACTTCCTTCTGACTATGACCTAGGTTGAGACACATGGCAGCTCCTTTCCTCAGACCTTCTTCTTTATACACTATAATGAACGGTATTAGGCTTAGATACAGTAGTAATTAGATACAGTAGAATAGGAATAGGAAACTCTGTTTTACGAAAATAACTAACAACATCAGGTAGAGGAAGTAATGGTACCAAAATATTTATTTCCTTTAATGTTACAACTTAATTAGTCCATCAAATATTCCATATGTAAAATGTCATTTTTACTGAGGAGAAAATCACGTTATAAGTGGTGTTACCCTTGATTTGGTTTGAAGAAAAAGAAAATAAGTAATCCAGGCAAACTAGATTTAGGAAGATATTTTTCTAGATGCGTAGATACAAATGCACAATAAAGCTAAGTATTAGAAATATACACATAAACACACATATATGTTGATATTTGCAGTGATGGCAGAACCAGTGCCAGGCATAAAAGAGAACTGTACAGCAACTTCCTATGTTTACCTTACAAGATGCACCAACAGAAACATTGGAGACTGCACTGAGGTCAACCTCTGTCTTTATAGATTAATACATTGCTTCAATTTTTTTATTAACTATTTTTCCCTAGAATATACTCAGTTCAGCTCCCATTCTCAGGCATCAAGACAGAAAGGGCAGAGAAGAGCCAAAGATGCAGAATACCTCCATGGGCTTCAAACCTATTTTTTCACCTCTTTCAGTTAGGGTTTTAATCAGCTTGATTTAAAGAGTCAGTATGAGTTTCCTCATACTGATTTTTTTCTTCTTTAAATTGTTCAGGAAAGTGTGTCTTGCCTAAAATAATTTTAAAGATTAGTGAGGGAATTTAGTATCAACATTTTCATTAGTTCCAGTGGCAGCATATTTGTGAAGAGAAATACTAAGCTCTATTACTGTGCTGGCAACCATTCATTTTGAAATGAAGATGCCAAGAGCAATTTTCAGATTTCTATTAGCTATTCTGTGAGCTCTGAACAACTCAAGAGTAAGTAAACAGTAGTTTAATAAAAGATCTCAGAGGAATAAAAAATAAAGTGAATGAAACTTTTAGAAAGGATGTAATACATAGTAATTCTTACATTTAAAGTTATATATCACAAATTAGTCTTTTAAGAGATGGTTTCAGCATTGTAAGAATGCATTATTGTTTTCACATATATTTATGGACTTGTATCAGAATCAATACATGAATCTCTATCTTCAGGTGATGAAGATAGCTGATAAAATTGATAATTTAAAAGGGAACTGTACAAGAGGTAGAAGCAAGGATAGATGACCTGGGAGGAATATAAAGACACTGTCTCAGCATGTTAGAAAAACCAAAGCCCACTTGTAGTTGAATCTAGTGAGGGATATGAAGGACAACAAGAAGAGCTTTTACAAGAACATCATCAGCAAAAGAAAGACTAAGGAAAACATAGACTTGCTGCAGAATGTGGGCCTGCTGCCCCATGCTGGGGCAGGGGACTTGTCAACAAAAGGCATGGAAAAGGCCAAGTTACTCATTACCTTCTTTACCTCAGTCCTTGTAAAACCAGACATCAGTAATTGCAGGCCTCTGCAATCAGAGGGTAATTCTGGAGCAAGGATGACTTTCCCTCAGTGGAGGAGGATCAGATTAGGGAATATTTAAACAAACTGGACATGCACAAGTTCATGTGACCTGATGGGATGCACCCATGAGTATTGAGGGGACTGATGGATGTCATTCCAATGCCATCCTTGATTAACACTGAAAGGTCATACAAACTGGGATTGGTTCCTGAATTTCCTTCTTTCCTGAGAAACAAGTGTCACTTCTATCTTCAACGAGGGCAAGAAGGAGGATCTGGTGAACTACAAAATGTCAGACTCACAGTAGTTCCTGGGAAAATGATGGAGAAAGTCCTCCTAGAAACTGTTTTGAAGCATAGTAAGGACAACAAGATGATTGGGAGTGGTCAGCACGGGTGAAAGGGGAAATCATGCCTGATCAGCCTGATAACTGGCTATGGTGAGATGACAGACTTGGTGGATGAGGGAAAAGCAGTGATGTTATTTGTCTTGACTTGAAGAAGGAGTCTTTTGACAGTGTCTCCGTAACATCCTTACAGACAAAGCGATGAAGTACAACTTAGATAAATGAACAGTGAGGTGAACTGAAAACTGTTTGAACTGCTGATTTCAAAGGGTTATGAGAAATGGCATGAAGTCCAGCCAGAGGCCAGTCAGAAGTGATGTACCCCAGGATTAAATACTGGGGCCAATGCTATTCAACATATTCATTAGTGACCTGGATGATGGGACAGGGTTCACCCTCAGCAAGTCTGTAAATGGTACAAAACTGAGAATGGCTGATACACAAGATGACTGTCCTGGCATTCAGAGGGATCTTAACAGGCTGGAGAATTGAGCTGACAGGAGTCTCATGGAGTTCAACAAAGCCAAATGCAAAGTTCTGTATCTAGTAGAGGAATAACTGAAGGCACCAATACTTGGAGGTGTCTGACTAGCTGGAGGACAACTTTAAAGAAAAAAAACTGGGGGCCCTGATGGCCAAATTGGAAAGGCCAGCAACATCCTGGGTTGCATTAGGCAGAACATT